GATCACGCCCACCAACAGCCTCCTTCCTTCGCCATCTCATTCATCGTCACGATTTCACGCCCGTAGCCGCGTACGAAAATCGAACGGCCAAGGGACGACTCTACCCGGCTACTACCGGCCTCGTGGCTGTCACGGCCCTATACGAACTTTTGAGAAGTTTGCCGCCGCCGACGGCGCTCTTCTCTTCTTACTATGGCCGCGCATTATGAAACGACGCCACCACCTCGTGCAGCGCTCCCACGTGCAACGGCCAGACGAGCGGCGTAAAAATGTCGTAAATGAGAGGTGTTTTGGGTAAGGCAGTTTCCAGATGAGCGGTGACTTGCAGTGAAATTGCGAGGAGGAGGAGGATGACGAGCCTCGTGCCTCTTAGGATGCCGTCGGGCCAAGCCTTACGCTACCGACCTACCGACCTACCGACCTACCGACCCTTAAACGACTCGGCCAATGTCGAGCACTGACTCTTCGACATGATGCTGAATGTATGGCGAGGTCCGTGTCACATTACAAAAAATGAACGTCCTCACCGCCGAGGCGATCCGGCAGCTTTTCAGACCCGTGATTCGCGTACGTCCGTATTATGGCCGATAAATCTATCGATAAATCCCGCGATGATTCGCTTTATACGAGAATGTGGGTGTGGCGTAAGCTTACAAGTGGCCGAGGATAAAAGGAGGGCCAGAGGGTGGGGAGAAAAATTCGTTAGCGGACGATGAAATTGCCGTTGCCGATCAGGTTGCGCTTTCATTTACGATTGTCCTTCGAGTCGAGGAGAAAGTTTTGCCGCTGATCCGAGATCCGTCGAGGTAATTCGGTCGCTGAGCCTAATTTGTAAATTGCCTGCGTGTGTTGTACCTCATTTTTTTTTTTTTTTTTTTTTTTTTTTTTTTTTTTTATTTGATAATAATTAATTGGTGGGAATAATCGATATCGATATAATGAATGTAAAATAGAATATAGAAAGAAGTTTGGAAAAGGTGTATTTGAGAAGAGTTCAGATTGAAACTTTCGTCGCCCAAGGTCTATAGATTTGTATTGGTAAAATTATTTTGTTATTAACAATGCGATGTAAGTTTTGTAGCGCCGCAAGCGTTGGGAGGAAAAATGGTAGAGCAACGGTGCTTGTTTATTGACACGGACGTTAAAAATTAGGCAAACTTATTTACGTATCGAAGCACGTAAATTGTAATTTATGTTTGTGTGCATCACATTGGGGACTTGGCCTACGTTGTTGATATTCGATGCTTATTCGATCATTTGATTTCACCAACATTGAGCACACAGTGTTTTACGTTTTATATTTCATTTCGGTATGTATGAATTTTTCTTAAACGGATAATGTAAGTATAAAAAATGCCTATGAAGTATTCACATTTCATTAGCGTACCTTTTATGAAATTGTCTGAAAATAGAGATATAATATATTTTTATTCGTTTAATAATACCGAGGGGCATGATAATTCAATAATTTCAAAACAAAATAAAAAAACACAAAAAATATAATGTGATATAATAAAGCCTTGATATGAGCATTTGAAAATGTTGAAAAAAAAACAACCAATGCCTCTTGTAATTTATTGTATCGTTATATTTTTCATCTGTTTCTTTCATTGTTATAAATAATGACACGTGCAGATCAGTCGCCTTACAATGCAAATTATACGTGTAATATTATTATTATGTTATGAATATTTAGACTAGACATGGCGCAGGGTTTGTCAATTTCTTAGAAATCTTCATTTGTTGTAGATGCGAGCAGATCTACAATTGTATATTAAAAATATTCCTTTGTTATCGATATATTTTACTTGCTTTTGTCAACTGAAATTTTCAAGAAATCATGTATTTGTTTTACAATTGTTAAAACATTTTCTATCTCGCGGCTGTAATTTATTCAATAAATCGAGATTTATGTAAAAAAAAAAAACAAACAAACAAATTCGTACAGTAAAATAATCATACTATTTTCATTACTTTTATTTTATTATTCGTAAATTAAATTAAGATTTTGGTGAAACAATACTTTTTAATCACAACGCGAAATCATTGCTCATTTTATATGAATTTTTATAATTTTATATTAAAAATAAATGGCACATTCTCCATATTTAGTATTATATATCGTACATATGCATGCATACATATATATATATATATATATATATATATATAATAATTGCGTGAGCGCGCGCGTGTGTGTATGTAATGAGCTTTAATTTCAAATATCAATATTTGAAAATGTATAAAAAGATTTACGACTAATTTATGATGGATTCTCTAGATTTTCAGAAGACTAATTTTCCATAATTATTCTAATATAATAAATTTATCCATAATTATTCGTATTCTGACGTATTCTGACAATGGATTGTACTATGTATCTAAAAGTAAGTAATTTTGTTCTTTTTTTTTTCTGTCTTTTTTTAACCTCAATTATGAATTAATAATTATTAAAAATGCTGTAAATTAATGAATGTCAAAATCTATTTGTTTAAATCGTTCAAAAAAAAAAAAAAAGAAAAAGAAAAAAAACTATTTTTAAATATTAAAAATATTTATTATAATAATCTGTAATGATAATAATTATTGTTATTTATTTATAAATATTTATTTTAAATAGATAAACGATATTTATCATGAAATTTAAATGCAATCGAAACATTAGAAAAATATATATGGGTAAATTTAATCATTTTTTTTAATTCTTAAATTTTATTTATTTAGCTATATCAAGCGTATACCATAGTAGCTGCAAAAGAATACTTGGATGGACATTATAATAAAGCTTTAGTGCAATACCAGAATGCCTTAGTGATTGCTAAGATATTAAATATACGGGAGATAGAAATTGCTATAATTCAGTATATGATTTGTTCTTGCCATTTTAAATTAAACAAATTGGATGATTTGTTAGAAGCGGTTACCACTTTGCAGAATATGCCAATTGGTATCAAAGAAGAACTGCCCATCATTTATTGCCTTTTAGCCAAACTGCATTGTAAATTGTATCGGTAATACACGCATATATCGTAATTATTTATTAAATAATTTATTGTGAGATAATATTAGAATTGCATTGATTATTATAGATTTGATGAAGGATTGGTGTCACTAAATGCAGGAGAATTTATTTGGAATAAAAATATTATATTGAATCAATATTACATACCTGAAACAGAAGTTGTGATTCAAAATAAAAACATTTATGTAAACATGAAAATTCTTACAGCACATATATGTAAAAACTCAACCGTTACATTCATTTTTTTTTTTTTTTTTTTTTGCAATATTTTAGAATCAATGGTTAGCGGTGCAAAGATACTGTTTAATTTTTCATTTAGCCGATGCTGTTTGCAATTCGTTAAACTGTACAAATATTGCTAGGCCATACACTACACCAAATGTTAATATATATATAAAGTAATTTTATTTTTATATGAGTAAAATTTAATAATTATGTTTTAAAGAAATTATATTTACATTTAAATAGAATTTTCACTAATAATTATAACTACAATTGTCTCACAAATAATATAGTATATATGTCAATATTTTTCAGAGATCCTGCATTTAATGGAATGGTAATTGTTAAGTGTAATAATGAACAACCATGTATATTCAAATATCATCAGAATTGTTGGAAAGATAAAAAAATCGAAATATTTGGATTACAAAAAATGTTAGAAAAGGTAAAATTTGTTTAATGAAATTTTTCGTTCAATTTATTAATGAGTTTATGTATAATAGGACATTATTGGTAATATTAGCTGTTTTACACCTGACTGTATGAGAAATAATATTCCATGCATAATATTATCAATTGAGATAATAGGAAAAACGGGAAAAGTAGAAGAAGAATTTAAAAATCCAACATTTGGTACTCATTCTAACAACAGATATTTATGCAATAATGTTGTAAAGAAGGTTATTAACGTAACATTAATTTTATCTGAATTCTCTATTTTATATTGCTATACTTATTTCGTTTTTTTTTTTTTTTTTTTTTTCTACTATGTATTTAACTATTTATTATGTTTCAATTTTTATTTAACTTCAATATAGATATTATCGACAGATGTATTTTGATTATGTTCAGCTATTGATGAAACTATAAGTAAAGTAAAAAATCGACAATTCTGTAATAAATTAACTAAAATTGAATGATTTTATGCTGTAGTTCCAATATTAACAATATATGCTTCGTAATTCATTTAAATTTATCTCTTTACATCTCTATTTTTATGTAAATATATTACAATGTAACACTATTTATTTATAGCTAAAAAACTATAAAGCTCTGAAAGATGAAATATTAATTACAAAAGGTGAATTAGATAATTATGATACTTCGGAATGTTTTGAAACTCCTGTTTCAAAACATTTTTTATTATCGTACGTATTAATTTTCGTCCAGATTATTAAAAAATTGTTTGAACATTTTAAATAATATTTGATTTCGTAATATTTTTAATTCACAGGTATTTTCATACTTATATTAGAAATAATTTTGTTAAAGTTTGTGATCTATATGCAGAGTTCGATGAAATTAACAAAGACTTCAAATTTACGAATATAGGTAATAATAAAATTCTTCTATTTATTATACCATTCTAGTATATTTCTTTATTTTGCCATAGATATATTAGTTTTTTTACTAGAATCAAATAAAATAGCACTATTAAATGATGAAATTTCAGAAAATGATAATATGGCAAGTAATGAAGGTTTGTGTGTTTTAACGATTTGCAATAATAGCAAAAAATATTCTTATTGATTTATCTAATATTTTAATGATATTATTTTATTTTTTCTTTGAAATATTAGATTTAGCTGATATTTACAATGCATTAATAAGTGAGCGCGATTCAAACGATATCACATCATCCAAGGAGAAACTGCATGTAAAATTATACTATTATTATTTAACATTAAAGGATTATATACAGTTACATGTTTTAATATTAAATGGCAAATGTTTAGTAATTTATACATTTATTAAGTAGCTTTTAATAATTGAATGAAATATTTTTTAAATAAGTGCATTTACTCTGAGCAGCATTCTTAAGAATTAAACTAACTGAAATTGAATGCGTGTCTTTTACAAACATATTCTGTTTATTACTTAATTATTCAGTCTTGTAGAATATTCAATTTCATCATGTCAAATGTCAATTTTAATTAAGTATGCCTATTAAAAATAAAACTTTATTTTTAATACAATCTAAATGTTTTGTATACAAAAATAAAATATAACTAAATATAATTAGGTATAATCCTTAAATGTACTTAAGCAACAAAGTAAAAATAATTAAATTTGTATAAATTATTAGGCCTTGAAATTTAATCGAAAGCACCAAGAAGATCATGACAGTAATAATGAACAAAAAGTTATCCATGAAGAAATAATAGATTTAAAAAATCAAAGAGATAATAAATGTTTATTACCATCTATTTTAAACAATTATGACGTAAAAAAGAATGATTCAATATGTCAAAGGAATAATACAGATTTATATAAACATTTCTCAATAGAAAATAGAAAATATAAAATATACGTAATCGAGTTAGAAGAGCATATAGAAAAGATAAAAATTGAAAATAATGATCTACATGAAAAATTAATGGAAAAGGATTCGTGTATAGAATCTTTAATAAAAGATCAAAAGGAATATTTTAAAAAAATTGAGGAATATGAACGGTTTCGTGAAAAAATGACAGAATTTCAAGTAGAATATCAACATGTAAAAGATGATAATTTAGTGATGATGGAAAAAATAAGTTATTTAGAAGAAAAATTAAGTACACATTCCAATTCTAATGAACAAATTTTGAAAAATGTTCAAGAATATAAAATTCTTGAAGATCATACAAATTCCATATGGCAAAGTAAAATAAATAAATTTGAGTACGTTGAAAAAATAAATATTAGTAGTAATTAATACAATAGTCTCTGAAAATGTTTGAATATTCTATTTTTAGGCAAGTTTTACAAACGGAAATCGAAACAAAAATGAATTTGATCAAGACAAGTTTGAATCGCCAGTTTGCTCAAAATAAATATGTGTTAAATAGGTAAAATAATAATAGATAAAAATATTGGTCTCATTTAACATTTGTAATAGTTTGAAAAATTTATTTTCATAAAATTGGTTTCATATAGATTTTTTGACCACTATACCTTGATTTTAAATTTGATGAATACAGTTAACGATTGGATAGAAAATTTGATTGACATAAAACTCTTCGTAATTACTAATTGGATAAATAAACGCAATAATATACAAGAAGTACTAAATGATCAGCAGGTAACATCTAATTGTCGTATTCATTATTATTAATTTTAGTGTATGAAATTTTTTTATACGTTCATAAAAGAAATTTATATTTCGCCCTATGAGTATATCATTTAATAAATTATAAACTAAATAATTTTTTTTATTTTTTAAATTAATGTAATATTGCGATTAATTATAAAAAATTTAATATAATTAAATGTTACGTTAGTTACTTACGTTTTCACATTTATATCTTGATTTATTTTCTTTAATAAATCAACATATAAATAGTAGTATAATTCAAAATAAAACATAATACATTCCAATTTGTCTAATTTCTTTTCGTGAAAACTTATATTTACATAAAGGTAATACATATTTAAAGATAAAATTAATAACAAAAAATATTGTTATACATCTATATGTATACATTAAACAGAAATACGATTATTATAAAGAACATTTTTATTATTGAAACAGATAGGTCATTTTAAATTTATGTAGTTTGAAATATATAAATGCAACTTCCTATTGAAATATTATCATATCTATTTATTATTATTAAAATAAATATGTATTAAACACGTGAATATTGCATTTTTTTTATAGCTCCAGTATACGAAGTATTTAGAAATATTAAATTCCAATGCAGTAGACAAGTTTAAAATGACAAGCATTCAACTTACTTTCCCAGTCCTCGAAAATATTAGTGAACAAAATGTTGAATGTATAATAAAGACCATCCTTATGGTATGTAGTATTATACATTATAATTTTATGATGTACCTAAACGAATTGGGCTGTGAATTGAACAGAGAAGAATTTGTTCAAAATATTAAACACTTGCTAAAGACAATACAGTGGAACATATCACCCGAAGTAATTTTAAATGTCGAGATTGCCGAGAAACTACCAACTATTATTTGTGAGAAAGATATGCCACAGATGGAAAAGGAACAACTTCCAAGTAACGATTCAGGTTCGTATCACAGTCGTGTAGTAAAATTATTAATTCGTAATTTTGAATTTCATTTTAATGGGTTTAGTAATTAATTGATAAGTTGATAATCGAAGACTGAAATTGCAAATCATTCATCTCCATGATGAAAAATCGGTTTTTTTTTTTACATGAGGCAATAAAATCGTTTAATTTTTTGCTCTATACACCGATATTAAAATAGTAAATTATTATTTAATAACTTCTCTTTCTCTCATTTCCAATTATTATCGAAATTTCTTAAAATATATATCTTTATACGGTCTATTGTTTCATCTCTGCTTAAAATTTAACTAAACGATGAAGCAATTGGTAACTGTAAAGTCAAGTGATCACCAACTGTTTCATCCCTACTTTTGAACTTTTAGTTAAGAGAGATGGGATTTTACTCATCTTTAATAATGAATTGAAATTTAAAAAAAAATTCTATCTTCCTATATACACTGAAATCAGTTTTACAAGTACGGCATCTCGTATCTGTATTTAAATGTAATTTCCAACGTACAATTGGCAATTTAGCACTTTGCATCTTTCATTGAATTTTTTTGTCGCCGTTCTAACGGTATAACTACGACATGTGAATGTATAATTTTATCATTTTTATTATCCATGAATTAGTATAATAGTGACGATATAACGGTAATACACTTATTAATCTCGGATATATTATAATTTTAAGATTTTATGTAATTTTTTTTTTTTTTTTTAATTTTTTTTGATAAACCAAAGCATATTACAGATATACAAAATGTTAAAATTGTTTCTAAATTATTTATTTATTAAAGCTATCTTAACGATAATAATAATAATAATAATAATAATAATAATAATAAAATACTAAATTAGATTAATCGACAAAATTACAATAAATTAGTAAATTGGCTTTTATATAAATTAATTGTAATTTTTAATACCAAATTTAATAAAAATTTTTTTTAATTTAAATTACAAATACATATAAAAGTATAAAATATATTAATTTAAATACCGAATTTAGAGAATTTGGAGCAAAAGGATTGTATAATAATTGAAAACGAGGAAAAATTCATAGAAAGCAATGAAGTAATTCATAAAGAAAATGTCTATCATGAAATATCAATACACAAAGAAGCTTCTAAAACATTATCGTTGCCTATAGAGAAGGAAATAACAAATAGTATTGTTAACGATGATACGACGAAAGATATTAGTAATCCTTCAGTAACTGACTATTTTTATAATGGGAATAATGATGACATTGACAATGCGTGTAGTTTTAATAATCAATCTGATTATACTAGTAACATATTAAAGTAAGTATATATATATGTATATATATATATATATATATATATATATATATTAAATTTAAGAGTAAATAATAATAAATAACCAATTATAGAGAAGAAATCTAGTTTAATAAATTTATAAATAACTACTTTAATGCATTTGTCAATACATTAACGTAGAATAACTATTAAATATTTATATAAAATATAGAATTTATATTTTCTTACAAATTTTCTTAAAAGATAATTATTGATTAATCAAATATTAAAATATAAAATCATTCCGTGCAAACGCAAAGCATTTAATGTTTAACAAGTATTTTATATTGGCTAATGTACAATGTATAAAAATTACATTTTCCCCAATAAAATATACGCTGCTTATTTCATTTTAAACGAGGACAAAACATTTAACAAAACCAAAAATGAAAATAAATTTAATAAAAAATATTTTTACCTAAATAATTCAATTTTATTAAAAACTGATAATTTGTGTAAGGACAAATGACGTCAATTAGACCGATTGGAGTCAAGTTTTACATATATTTTTTAATGTTCATGATTTTTGGAATATTATATATTAAAATATAGAAATCTGAAGTTTATTTGAATACAGTTTGCTATAGTAAGCACGATATACTTTTTAGACAATATATATCAATGGAATAGTGGGGTACGACACACGAGAAACCATGATTCTCAAAAATTCAAGATATGCGAAGGATGTATCGAACTTTGTAACGATTCCCTAAATTGAATATTTTTAATAATAAAAGTTCTTCTTGAAAAAAAAAAAAAAAAAATTGTCATAAAAATTGTTTATTAAACAAATTCATAGAAAACTATTTACAATTAATAATTTTAAGGTTCAAATTTCTTTTCCAATATTAATAAGGTTTGTTAAAAAAAAAATGTTGCAATTGTAATCTAATTTGAGATACTTCAATGTTTTAAAAAAGATTTAAGACAAAAATAATATGTTAAATCAACAGAAATAATTCATTTTTGCACTATTCATACATACCGTGACGCATTTTCAATCAATTTTACAATAACAATATTTTCATTAAATTTATTACCAAGACAAGAGTAAAATTTTATTTTCTTAATTAAAACTATAATCATCATCAGTATTTTTCTGTAAAATAAATTAATATATCACAGTTTAAAAAATTGTTTCATAATTATCTTTAAATTTCCTTGTTCTTTTGAAATACGATTACAAATGAAGTTTTTTTTTTAGTACCTTGATTTAAGAAATATTCACGGTAATTTTTACATTTGATGTTTTAGAAATGAATGCAGATTAATGTACAAAGTTGGATTAAATAAATTAGTAAAAATCATGCTATTAAATTATTCTGGAACTTTTGAGTAAGTATTAACTGTAAAACTTGTTAAAAATTGTTTGAAATTAAATTTTTAATGTTGTCAATTTTTTTTTTTTTTAGAGCCGATATTATTGAGATTATTGAAGATATACGTAAAAACCATAATAATTCTTTATCGGGTTTATCCGTGGCTGAGATTCTGAAATATTCTGAAGAATACTTTCTACGTAAACAAGAAAAATGTATGCTATTACTTTATATATATATATATATATATGTATGTATATGCATATATGTTATGTGCATATATATCGTTAATATATAAAATATAAGTTAAAAAAATTAAAGTTTATGCAATATTTTTATATTATAAATGAAAGAAAACATTTTTTTTACTTTCAAGTAATGCACTTCTTAGCACAACTTCTTTTTAAGGTAAATAGATTATAATATTTTGTAAACTAAGTCTTTTATTATAAATGCAGATGTACTCAAATATGATTCAAATGATCAATACTCCATTGAAATATCGACACGATCATCATCAGGTTCTCTATAATATTATATTATAAGCTATATGAACTATTGCTATATTTTTAATTCTTCATTTATTTTAGATTCGAAGCATCAAAATATACAGAAAAGAAGTAACTTTGGTAAGTTCTTTTATAAATAACAAATTAAATACAATTTTAGTTAGTGTGAACAAATACTTAGACTGTCTCAAAATATTTGTTTAATCTATTGTAGAATCAAGTAAACAAAATGTTCAAAGGAGTAGTACTCGTCCAACGATATCTGGTTTGTATGAATATTACAATTTTCTTTTTTAACCCATTTTCTCATGATATTAAATGAAGAATAGTATTGTACATTTTGAGATTGTAAATAAAATTAATTATTTTAATTTCTAGTCAGGAAAGAAACCAAAGTTTGCATATTTTATTTACATTGTCTTGTAAATTTATTTAATGTAATATATATTTATGTGCTTGTGCATTTATATATATATATATATATATATATATATATATATATAAACATATTAAAAAAGCAATTTTCAATATATATATATATATATATATATATATATATAAGTTTAATTTGTTTTAGTCTCTCGTAAAAAAAAAGTTCAAACTCAGGAATTACCTAAATCTTTCAGTAAGTATTACGTATTTAATTAAATTTGTATCGAGTTATTATTATGCTATATATGGTCTATACTCTTTTTACGAACTCGTATCGTGTATTTCAGGACTTGTGCAATAATTAAAAAATAGAACTTATATTGAAATTTTATGAACTTTTAGAGTGATAAAATAATATTTGTGATCCGTTTTTAGTATAGTAGTATTTTTAAAAATATTTTACATTATTTGCAGCTAGTTCTTTACCTAAAATGTATAATTCATCAATAAAAGCTTGGAATGTCATACCCCAAGATTTAAAATGGACCCTTTCTAGTGAAAATGAGTGCTCTATATGTATGGGTACTGTGAAAAAAATCAATTCTTACATTTTGGCGTGTGGACACTTCTTTCATGCAAAGGTAAACTTGTTGAAAAAAAGTATTTGACATTTAACAAATAATTTTAATTACAATCAGTAACATTCAGTAATATTTATATTACAGTGTATAAAAGAATGGATGAATTCTGATACCTCTTGTCCAAATTGTCGATACTTAATAATTGACATAGATGTGTGCTCATCACCAAAAATAAATAAATAATTTTGTGTTCTTAGTTACAGTTATAGAAAGACTCATTTTTTCTTTAATGTATTTTTAATTATTAAAAACCAAAAAGTCTTTGGTTTGATTAATACTTATATAATTAATATAAAAGCTGATATTTCTTATAATATAATTATTATTTAATTATATGATTTAAAATATTTTATGTAAAATCAAATATTATGGTTTCTAATGTAATAAAATATTTTCATTTATTTATAGTATCGATATTAGTCCCACCAGAAACTTATTGAAAAGCTTGGTGTAAGACCTACTACGTGATGCCACCACTTTGGTGGAATAAATAACATATCACCAGGTTTTAAATAACACATAAATCCTTTGGCTTTTCGAAAATTCGGATATTGTTCAAAATCTGGTTTATATGGATCAACTTTAGCTGTATTATTTAATAATCGAGTCTCATAAGCATATACATTCTCATTATCTTCTGGACTATATAAAATAATTCTTTTATATCCAAAAACCTATTGCGATAAAATTTCAAAGTAAAAACTAGAAATATATTTTTATCAAGATACACTTTAAACTATTACCTGACATAATAAATTATTTCTTTGATCATAATGTAACGGTGAAACAGTTCCATTAGGTCCAAACCAAGCATTTATTTCTGGCAAATTTTCATTGTCCTCGTTATCTGAGAAAGAACAATAATCAGGTACAGAAAAATCATCCTTCAGTTCAGGAATCTAAAATTTATTGTACTTATGAATTCATAATTATATAATTTCTTAATAAAAATTTATAATTAATTGTAAAATATTTTCAAAAATGCGTTTCTTCAATTAGTCACACATTACTTTTCTATCAATTTTCAATATAAAGCAGTTACGACCAAAATTTATATATTAATATGATTTAAGTAAAGTTATACTAAATTAATTAAAACTAATTGAACAAAAATGACTGATTGAAGTATTTTTTACTTAATTTTTTTAATTGAGATGATTTTTAAAGATGTTTTAAATCTTAATTTACTACATACCTGATCGAAAAGTGGATGTTGTGCTAAATAACCGACCTTATCATTCTTAGATGATATATGAGTTTTCAAAAAGTCAGAAAATATTACAAGATTTTGTGTCCAATCATCATCTGTATAACGTGAACCAATTTCTATTGGAACTGTTCGATTCCCAGCTATCCTTTGCAGATACTCTATGTCTTGCCATAAATGTAACGCTTTCCAATGATCAATACAATCTACAATGAAATATTAGCAAAACTACTTAAGATCAATTTATAAAATTTTAACGTCATACCTTTAAGTAGAGCAGGAACTTTTGGCTTAAAAATCTCACAATAAAATTTTTCCATCGATGGTTTTATAAAATTAGGAACTGGTGTAAATCCAGGAAATATAGTTGTATAAATGTTTTCATCAATTTTCATGTTAAATACATCGGTTTTAGTTAATTCTATAAGCATACACATACATTTATTAAAAATGAAATTGTTTATTTTTTAATAAATCTAACTACTGATACTTACCTAAACAATATTTATTTAAACTTGCTGCTATTTCTGGTAATAAATTTGTAGCTTTTGGTAAAGGAGCTCCTAGAAGTATTCCTTTATCGATTTGTTGAATAATTTCTTTATATGTATTAAGAAGTTTTACAGAATCTTCTTCTACGTAAGCTATAAGTTCCAATAAAATTGCCTGTAATTAATTTGTAATCAATTATATAGGAAAATAATAAATAAAATACTTTAAATATCATTTGCCGTATGTCATATTGAAAGTAGCTTGATAAAATAAAAATATTTTACCTTTATAATAGTGCATATTGAATAACAATATCTATAATTAATGGGAACGTCTTTCCAATAGCCAGAATTGAGCATTTCCCATGTACGATCTAAGCAAGCTTCAATTGTTAATAAATCACTCTCTATCCATTTTGTACATATTTTCAATTTTTTTAATTCTGAAGACACGCTAAAGATATTAATAAAAGCAAAAATGAAAATATTAAATATACAAGCATACGATTAAAACTGAAATATTTTTCAAAATATACTCTTATAAATAATGAAATATGTTGATATTTTGTACATAAATCATTTTGAATTTCTTAATTGAGAATTGTCAATGAAGTATTTTAAAAATAATTTTACTTCGATTACAAAGTCTCTAATTAAACTCTATCAATCGTTATACCTACACATTATTTTTATACCAATTTTCCAGCCTTAAAAATATCTGGGTCAAATAAAATTTTAGTTCATTTGGAGAGCATACAATATCTTCCTGCAGTAGATCCCACTTAATATGTTTTACTAACATTTGTTCTGACATTATATCTGTATGTTATCAAAAATATCAGAAAATTTTATGAACGACCAGAATGCTTTTACATCATTTGCTACTATTGTAAAATGTTAAATGTGTTTATGGTACAAATATACTTCGAGGATAATTATCTCCACCGAGTAATGGCCACTGAACAATTGTATGATTAGCTATATAATATAATATCTTCCCAGAGAGAGAGAAAGTTTCCACCCTACAGAAACTTTCAACAAAAATAATTTTGGTATTCAAAAGAAACAGTGAGTTGAAAAAAAATACGACTAAACAAGGAGGAATACAAGTCCCAGGACCATTGCATAATAGCAGATCTGGCTTTTCTTTCCATATTAATGGAAATGATTGAAAAATGGCATGAATAGTTGTCCAAATCGATGTGAAATATGATTGATTAACTTCACGACTTCTTGAAATTTGAATTATTTTATAGTCATTAATATTTTCCTCTATTTGTTTAACTTTCATTAAACTTATATCATCTGTCTGAGCTTGTACATAGACTCTTGGAAAGTATAATTTTTTGTTCAAGTGCCGTACAATCCGTAAAATTTCTGTCGTATGTCCACCAGATCCAAGTACAATTAAAGTTTTTGATGGTTTAGTTTGAGTTGTTTTTTTTATTTTTTTGCCATTTACATTAAGTATTAAATAAGTTCCTCTAATGATAAAAAGAATTACAATTGGAAAAATCAATACGCATATTAAAGGCAAGACCATGACGTTAGCATTGAAAAGTTTAATCTAAAACAAAAGAACATATTTATAATGAATATAATACTTGCAATACTTGTTTACACAATATTCACTTTTATGATGATATATATTTTTAAAATTTTATGATTTTATAATTTAACTTTCAAGGGTTATATTAAATTGTAATAATTTATTTTTTACACAATTATTTTACTATAAGTTTATTAGTATTTTAATTAAAATACAAAAATAAAATAAAATTTTAACATATTTAAATTGTTGATCTCTAATACATATACATAATAATGAAAATCTACGTTATTTATTTCACTAAAGATTTTATTTTCATATATTTTTATAATACAGAATTGCAATTACTCGATTGCGTTACATAAAATAAATTAAAGTCATTTACACATTAAACTAAATATATATTATTTAAATTGAATCCCATATACTTCAAATTGAATCCCTTATACTTCAATAATTTTAATTTTAAACAATAGCTTTTTTTTTTTTAAATATTTGACTTTATTATTAAAAAAAAATTACAATATTAATTTTACACTAAAATAAAATCATAGGTTATTTTGAATGTAAAATCTTTAATATAAAATAAGATAATACTTCTCGACTAATTCAATTAGATTTATTAATAAAATGTTTAAATGATATTATTAGTAATCCATTTGATAAGCTACATTTTAAACATTATTAACAAATTAAAAAATTTTCCTCCAATACACAGTACAGTTATTAGTTATATTATAGTAAAATTTGAAATAATTTTATTTAATTTTTGTATTCTTTATGGTGTATACTATTTGTTAATAATTACAAGCATTTATCATATTAAAATTAACTATAAATAATTGGATAGTTTATTAATTACGTTACATATGAAACTATTTATTGAAAAATATTCTTTCTTTAATTATCAAATTCTTAGAAAATTAATATCATTATGATTCAGTTAAATTGAATTAATTTTATTCTTATCTATTAATGCACTAAGCAATATATAACCAAACCATTATATAAAAAGAAAATAAATAATAAAATTTTTTTATTAATTTTCTTTAAGTAATAAAAGAAATTTACATATTAAAAAATGTATTTTTTTTTCCAAATAATTTTATAAGATATTTAAATTAATCATAAAAAAAAAATTTTATCAATATAGTGACAACGCCATTTTTCGAAATTACTTTTACATAACAATTTATTTAAATAATAAATGCTTATCAATTTCACTTACTTTTTACGGTATTTTAAAAACTTACTTTTATCACGAATACATTCTTTTTGCCTATTTTATTAAAACATTTGAATGTTAAAGATTGACATGTTTATTATTATTATTATTATTATTGTTTCTTATTATTTATTATTATTCCTATAAATCGTTTTTAAGGAGTAAGTTAAAGTTTTATAATCTGCGGTTGGAGTATAAATTATAACTAATCGTGAGCTCATAATAAATTTCACATGCACACTAATGTTTCACATTCTTTGTGATTCCAGGCGGAATGAAGAATTTACTTGTTTTTGTGTGATGTAATTGCAATGCGCGGGAGATTTTAAAGGAGCTGGAACAAGTACTTTTACAATTTAAATAGTTCTACAATAACAAAAATATTCAATGAATTCGTACTTTGAGATTGACATGACATATGAATAATTACAAAAAAAAAAAAAAAAAAAAAAAAAAAAAAAACAACATTAATACTTTATCCATATCTATGGTTTAAGTAGATAAAAACAATTGAAATAAATTAATGGCTTTTTTTTATTTCTGGAACAATTTGGACATACTAGTACGTATTAATACAACCTATATTTTGAGAACGACAACGATGATATTAATAACGACGATAATTATGACGATCATAAGATTTATTAACATAACTTTTATCCACATATGATATTTATTTATCTTATAAACCAGAACATTTCTATAGTCGATAAAGTAGAACAATTATCTTAAATTATTTAATGTAAATTAAAAAACAAAAAACAAAAACAAAAAACAATATATAAATGTATATATTGATATATTTAACTTACATAACAATATCCAGTATTATAGTTAATTAAATCGCTAAAAGCATTTAACTACTTTTCACATGTTTTTTGGATGTATAAATACGAATATTGAAATACATCAGGGGTCAAAAAAAAAAGAAAAGAAAGTGAAAGTAATATTTTTTTGTACATAAAGTGTAATTAAATTGTATATTTTATTTATTTATAATTGTAAAATGCTTATTGAATAATTGTATTTCTTCTCAACTAGTTTAATTTAATAAAATTCATATTTACGGATGATCTTGTACAGAATTAGTTCTATCATTTACTTCATATTTTATATAAAAGTTTATTTTAAAATTTATAAGACAATGTTTGTTCCAAAGTTGTAATACGAAATAAATTTTCCAAAATAATATAATTGATGAAATTAATTAAGAGTTTAATTAATTAAAAAAAATGTATGTTATTTTTATTAAAAAATATGTTATTTTTATTATATCTTTCTAAAAGTATTTATTCTCGCTTTTTAATTTGTTTAATCGAAAATATTAGATATCAACAATTGATTGTACTTCCTAAATTTCGCAAAATATGTACATAAAAAGAAAACAATTTTTTCCTTGATTCTTTATATGTCAGTACAAATTAAAACAATTAAAATTAATAAGATAATATTATAATAATTAAATAAGAATAGATTATTGATAATAAATATTAATTGTTTAATTATCATAAATTCCTTACGAATGTAGAAGTTTTGAGAAAAATTAATTTTTTTTTTTTTGCTTGAACGGACAATTAAATGTTGAAGGGCAAATTCAGGATATTTTGAATTCGAGGCATAAATTCAAGAAAGAAAAGAATAAAATAGATTTATCATAATCAAGAATTTTAAAGTGTTTTTTTTAATTTAATATTTTAATTGTTTTAATTTTACTAAACAAAAAAATTCAATATATGTTCATTTTAGCGAGTATATATACTTGCTAATTATAATGTTAAAAAAGACATAAATTTTATTTTACTTTATCTAAAGTAGTTGTATTAATACGATGAATAAAATTTGTATTCGAAAAAAGCATTTTAAAGATTTTGGACATTATAGAATCCTGTTTTACATTTCCCAGTTCTTGGGTTAGTGTATATATATATATATATATATATATATATATATATATAATATCTAAAACAGCAACAACAACAACAACAACAACAATAGATATTTTTTAAGTGAATTTTATATACTATAAACGAAACTTTGCCATTAACATGCGCTTGAATACTGTAAATATCTACTATTAAATAATACGTTTGCCATATATCAAGAAATTTTTTATGGTCATTACATAATGTACATAATGTCAATACATAATTTTTATTGGTCAATGCATAAAACGATAAAGTAAGAATAATCGTTAATTCACTGAATTGTGTGTAAGGACAATTAATTTATTTTTCCTCATATTTCCAAATTCGTCACTATTGTTATTATCAATAAGACATGGCTAAAACTTTTGATGAAATACTTTTTTTTTATAAATAGAATTAAAAAAAAACTACATAATAAATATATCCGAAATAAAATATCTACATAGAAAAATAGCATAAAATTCGTTAAATAGTAGTTTCTAATTCGTGAAAATGGTTTTCAGATTTAAATATTGATGCTTTAAACATAAAGTAAGTTAAATGATAAAACTTTTGTATAATTATTCAATGTCTTTCAGCTCAAAAAGACGCTTTTGTTTGACATCAAACATTTTTATTTATTATAATATGTCGTAGTAGTGTAGACGAACAAAACTATTTATTACGAAAATATGAATTTTATTTATATAAAAAAATTAAAAACTTTATAAAATACAAAGAGTATAATTATCTATTGTTCCCTCAAATATTTCATTCAATTTTTATTATTTAAATTGCATAATTACATTTTTATGCAATAAATAGAATTCTTGAGATTTCATAAGGCATTGAAATCTTTAGATTACAAATAAAAAATTAATTACTCTTAAAGGTTAAGTTTATAATGTTTCTAAGCTATCGTTTATTTATTGAGATATTTATAACGTGTTCAAAGGAAAATTTATTTTTACCAAATTTTAAAATATATTCATTACTTATGCATATTCAAATACATTAATTGTTTTTGAATTCTAATTTAATCTTGTATCATGATTTGGATACGGAATCAGTATAAATTTATTTGGTATTATTGCGATCTGTTAGTATAAAGTAACGATGATGGTAACGATGACAATTAATATGATTAATTATTATTAATATTAGTCGGTCATTACCGTTATAGTACTTTATACGTTTTTATAGTAGTAGTAGTAGTAGTAGTAGTAGTAGCTTAATTTAGTAGGAGCTTAATTTTAAAATACTTATGGATTTGAATCATCAAACTATTTAATCTTTTCAATTTATTTTAATTGCCTTTCATTACTAATCTATTATATAAGAACATGAATTTATGAGCAATAAGTGGTAACGTATTTTGCTTTTTATATTTTTTAATATTTTTGTTTACGGAATAAGTAGAGTCTGTAAAACAACATTGCGATGTTTATATATTAATTATTTCTTAACAATACAACATCATTATACAACATGTACATGTAAGTTATTTATAAAAATTTCGAGTAAAGAGACATTCAACTATTAATTAGTTAAAACTATACAAACGAATCTTAACGGGCGTATAATATTATGACATTGTTATCGAAAATTTATATTTACGTTATATCTAATTAGCAATACTTTTGCCAATTATATATTTACAAAATAGCTTATAAAAACATAGGTTAAATAAATCCTTGCATCTTAGATAAAAACCTGCTTTATCACATCGTTTAACTTTTTTCTATACTCATTATTTTAATCTCGGTTTTATGTAAACCTAAAAAGCAATTTCGACAAATGTTAATTATATCTATAAAAGTTACCTTATATAAAAGCAATGCTCGAGTGTGTAATTAACATCAAAAGAAAATTGTTGTGCGCAGACAAAAGACGGATGTCGAGATAACTATTATATCGAATATTTTCTAGATCCCTGCATCGCATACATTAATTTTCAACGCTTTCGACATTCGATTAGCATTGAATTCGATATAATTGCCTCAGGAAAGAACAGAAAATCATGATTTTACAGTCATTTCAATTAACATAATCCATTCGTTATTTTGATTCTCTTATATATAACTTCATTCAAAGATTATATGTTTTTGATAGTTTAAAGATTTAAGAAGCCGACGTTTTAAACGTCTTCATTATATGAATACAATGAAAATGCAATATATGATATTGCGGCGCACTAATAATTACAATAAAAAATATGTAAAAAGCAAAAAACAAAAACAAAAAAAAAAGTACAAATTATAAATCTGAAAAAATCTACTCGCTAAAGCTTCTGAATGTTAATAAGTCAGCTACAATTGTAATAACATTTACTTGATATTTCGATACGAGCAATCAAGAAAACGATTAAATTCATTAGTTGTTTTATAGATTTTACCATAGCTTTACTTTACTGTCATGAATACTTCTTGCATTTATAGTTATTCATGTCAACATAAAGTTTAAATATCAATGGTCGTATGAAAAACTTGGAATAATTATGCATAATTTAAATAAATAATATTTCAGCATTAGGAAGGCATATTATTATTTATTATTTATTTGTTATCGTTATTATTGTTGTTGTTGTTGTTATCGTTATTATTGTTATTGTTGTTGTTGTTGTTGTTGTTGTTGTTGTTGTTGTTGTTGTTATTGGTTATAGTGAATTTCAATGTTGTCGATTATCTAACAGTTAGTTGTCTGACAATCGTCATAATAGATAGAGTAAATTCTGCTCAGTAAATAAATAATTTTCTTAAGCACGTATAAATCTAAAATTATTCAATAAATTACACAAAAATTATTAAGAAATGATAAATGCTCGTGATGCGATAATGGCGCTTTCATCGTTATGCTGTTATGTTAACTTGACGCTCGCGCTAAGACTTATGATATAATGATTTAAGTGATGTCGAGATCTGTTCTTTATCACTTTCCCGAAGTGCTTCCAATAGATTTCAAAACACAATTAATATTAAATATTTCACGTTTAATACATTTGTTCGTTGACCCATTCTTATGATCCCCAAAAAGTACATTATTTACAAGTCAAACAAAATTCGAGAACGTCCCAGCCACAATATCTCTCGTTTGTTAAATTTAAACCTACACTGGCAGTACATTCCGAATTATTAATAACAAATCTAATTTCGTAAGGTCGCGGTGCTATTGACGAGGCTCAGCGTCGTCGTCAAAATCGACTCGGTAGTGACGTTCAAAGCACCAATGCCCGACGGACTCGCATCATTGTCATAAAGCGCAATGATGTCTAATACTGAAATCCAGGTGCCAGAAACGAGGGCGCACAGCGCCATCAGCATCAGGAAGCTATTTTTCCACAGCCTCCACTTGCCCACACCGAGATGGCATTCCCAGCAGGAAACTGTCTCGACAACGGCTGGAATAAATATGCCGAGGAAAGAGAAGAATATGGCTCCGACTAAGGATATGAAGGGCTCCAGGTCGGGTACCAGCATAGCCACGCTCACTGGAATTCAACACATAACATATACACATTATATTAGCCTGAAAATAATTTATTATCTCAATAGTCACAGAAACACGTCATTGATCTTTTTATTTATTTATTTATTACGTTTATTATTATTATTATTATTATTATTATTATTATTATTTTTATTTTTTTTTTTTTTTTTTTTTTTTTTTTTTTTTTTTTTTTTTGCACAGAGATTAAAGGGACGATTCAATTATATTGGCTATTCGTCAAGATGCAATCTCAACGTGAACAATCGAATTTATAAGATGTGTGTCGATGGGAGCGATGCCGATTTTATAATGAAATTCAAAATTAAAATTTAGATCTACCTATTGATAAAGCTGATTTGTACTCTGATTTTTATTTATTATCGTTGCATTATAATACTTTTTGCACTATCGATAAGTACGGAGAGCAAGAAGGCACGATATTTACAAATGATTTTTAAAATAAATGGCGATGTGTAACTTAGATAGATTTTCATAAAATTCAAAGTGCTCGAAAGTCAAAAAGTTTCGATTAAATAGATAGATAGATAGATAGATAGAGAGAGAGAGAGAGAGAGAGAGAGAGAGAGAGAGAGAGAGAGAGAGAGAGAGATTGAGGGTTGAAACGGGAATTTAATAAGACTATTATTCATGGGGGAATATTCGTATGTGCCTTATAACAACAAGCGATTACATCTTCAAATTATACCAATATTGAAACGATGAAATATTACGTTCAATTAATATTGTCCCAAGCATAAATTCCATTATACACACGATACAATATCAATTCAATTATTTCCAATTGTCGCTTCAAAGTACTTACTTCAACTTCACAGCGAGGAATCAATCACGAGCAATATAAAATACAAAGTCATGAGTCACTTTTCAATTATTCCACTACTTACGAAATAGAAATTTACAGTCGATAAGATCAGGGAATATATTCGCATAACGAAAGGTCGATCATTACGAAACGTATTGTATAATAAAAAATGCCCATTACCAGTAAGAAGAACCATAAGAATCCTCATGATGGTCTCCCCAAAAACTTCCCACTTATGGCTGAATTTGTGTTTAATGGAGCTCCAAATAATCTCCAACGGCACAAAATATTGCAATCCATAAGTCAAGATAATGGCGAGTGCAATCAAGATCTTGACAATCTGCCCAAGGCTTAAACACACGAATAATATACACTGTTTATTATTCGTGATCGTTGTCCCAGATAATAATCATCTATCCGCGATGATTTATCATGATTTTAGCTTAGTTTAGCAATTTAGCGAATCATACTTACATCTCATCAGTGGGAAGGTTAAACGTAATACTGCCTTTGGCTAACTCCCCGAAGCTCAAGTAGCCGAATACTCCCATCATTGTGTAGAGCGAGATGACAACGGTCATGGAAATATTAAGAACACTAGGACAGCCGATAAAATGATTTGGATTTGCCATACTGTTTTCAATGGGCATCACCTGCAATTTATAATAAATATGCGCGTTTAGGAGGCTAATCGTTAATGTTCGCGTGATCCGTGAAAATTATGGTGCATTTATTACGTTAAGAGGGTATTCGAGACTTCAGCTTGATTTTATTTACAAACGAGCGATTAACAAAAATAAGCCCCTGAAGGCATAACATTACAATCGAAGATACAACGAATAAATATTTGAAATGAATATAATATTCCAGCAGATCCAACGATTAATATTAATAAGCGATGTTACGTTATTTTTTACTTTTCCGAGAATCTTACGGCCAATCGCATCCTATAATAAACAAGACAATTACAAAGCGAACGAGGGAACATTTTAATTGGCATTTTAATTGAGCACGGGAGTATTGTGTGCGAGTTGGTGGATTATTTGGTTATTCGTAGGAAAAATGTCGGAGCTTAGAGACTTACAGTGCCAATGCCTTCAATTGCGAATATTACGGTCGCAAAGAATTTGGGCATCTGAGCCCAAGTTGATACGTAATGAATATTTTCCAACGGCTGGATATCGCTAAATATGTAGTAGAGCGTAATGGCGAATCCGACCGTCAAGCTCATGTTGGCTATGACCGAAAAAGGCACGAGGATCTTCAGATGACGAATTTGCCCGAGAAGGACTACTGCCGGAATCAGACAAAGCATGTACGTGCGCACTGGAATGTCAATACCACTGTAATAATCTCCCAGCTATAAACAAATGAAAAGCATTAATGAATTTAATGAATTTCGTAATTTAATAATAATAACAACAACAACAACAATAAACAAATAAACGAATAAACGAATAAACGAATAAACGAATAAATAAATAAACAAATAAACAAATAAACAAATAAACAAATAAACAAATAAATAAATAAACAAATTAACAAATTAACAAATTAACAAATTAATTAATTAATTAATAATAATAATTTGGTCAATTGTTATTATTTTCTTTTCCTTAAAGTCGTTCTTACGTCACGTTTGTTCAATATGCTCGTTCAATAAGATAAATACATATTTGAAAATCAATTTCCCTATGTCACGGATGCGGCTAGCCTCTCTCTCTCTCTCTCTCTCTCTCTCTCTCTCTATACTTCGCGATTATCATTTACATTGTAATTTATGTGAAGTGTTATAAATTAGTTTAATGAAATTGTTCATTATGATCTCGAAAATGTAAGGATATGGTGCATTTGTAAGTGGTAAGCGCGAGGCCTTCGGAAGATGAAAAAAAAAATAATAAATAAATAAATATATTATTCCACGCCGCATCGTCACAATCGCCATTATGAAATTTAAATATTCATAGAACCTCGAAGCAACTAAACTCTATTATTTTTTATTACTATAAAATCTTCGCATTAAATTTGTTATTTATAGGTGACTTTTTATAACGACACTTTTCTTCATTCTTTCTTTATTTATTTTTTTCTCTGTTGCTGTTTTAATGAAATAAAGTAAAATACGTTTGTGTGCATTATTCAAAGATACGTATGAAATTATTGATTAAAATTCTCTTGTCTTAATACATTGGGTAACGATATTTGTAGGAAAAAAATGTTCGAATATCCGAAGAATTGCATAATGTTGTTAAAATAGAACATTGGACATGTGTTCTCAAAGGCATGTGCTCGCTACTTTAGTTTCAATGCTAATTATTCAGTTTAAATGCATTTTTAAAAGTATAAGATAAGATAAAAGAAAAAAAAAAGAGATAAAAGATATTTTAATGCTTTCTTATACATCTAAGTTTATGTAAATTAGATCCTTTTTGCCGCGTCATTATTAGTAATAAAAAGTATATAGCAAATTTTATTGAAAACTTTCCTTGTACTTCCCTCTAATTATTTTTTTTTCTTTTTCGGCTGTCATATGTACTTCAATTTTTATATGTTTAAAACATTTAGATGTCTATCTTATCGAATAATAAATGTCAAAAGGCTCATTTAATAGCTTCGATGATAAATATACACAGTAGTATAGCCATACTTTTAATACTTATTTATTTATCAGAATTAATAAAAGTATTAAAAAAAAAAAATAACGAAGTATTTTTTTTTATTAATTCACATATATGCAAATGAAAATTAGCATAAGATTATTTATTTTTTCACTTTGTTTATTTTGTTTTAACTATTCGAAAACTGTCGCGTTCAGACGATGAAACTAATCGAAAATTATTTCTCTAAACAGTTAAATGAATTTTTATGAATATTATTAATTAACAACGAGGCTTCTTTAAAGTCGATATTATTAAATAAAACAGCGGGAAATGTTGTCTGATTTAATTGCAAATTGCAAATGTACATGTAAATCAACATGGAACTCGATAGTGAAATTTTATCTACGCAATTGGTAATATACACGAGTGTTTTCACGAATTTTCATAAATATAAAATTAATTATAAGCTGTGTATGTAGTTGATTGCTCATAATCTCAGAAGAGCAAAATGAGTTTTATATATATATATATATATATATATATTTTTTCCCTGTTGTTGCCCTTATTGCCGTTAACGGGCGGTCAAATCACTTAATTATGTATGCAAATTTTAATCGCCGTTCTATCACTCTTCACCGATTTCTTTATTCTCGCGCTTCAACAGAGCTGCCAACGCAGCCAAAGTCAATAGCAACAATAGCAACAATAATAATGCGGTTCGCGTGTCCTCCTTCTTTTCATTAAAGCAGCGGCTATTATAGCGAGTAATGGGCGTAATCGAAGCCAAAGTGGCTACCTGTTTTATTCCGTTGGCTATGAAGACGATGTAAACGCAGGAGCCGCCCACGTACGTCGCGCACAGCGCCCCATTGACGATGTTCCTGGCGAAGTTGGCGTATCCCCTTAGAGGCTTGGGGCCGCACTCGAAGGCCGCGGCCGCCGTCTCCGCGTACGTCATCTGGGGCGTCTTCGTCCTACGACAAAGGACGTGGGAGGACTTGACGAGGATGTGCACGCAGTGGGAGCAGAGTATGCCGATGAGGACGGTGCCGATGCCGCCGACGATGAGGCCGCCGTTTTTAATGGCGCTCGGCATTGCCAGGATACCAGTGCCCAGGGACGACTTGATGAGGTGCGTCGCCGAGCCTGCGTCTCTGCAAAAACGAGGGGATCGCGAGCCTTGAATTGCGCGCTTTAGGCACGACTATCGACTAATCTTAGGTCTTGAGCGACATTGGCGAATTACAGTGGGATTCGCTGTAGTAAGAGAGCGTAGTTCACCGCGGCTGATGAGCATTTGCAAATCAATAAGGCAGCCGAGGTGATACGAGCAAGAGATTTTTTTCTTATTTATTTATTTATTTATTTATTTATTTTTTTTTTTTTTTTTTTATTGAATTTAGAGCTTGGAGCGTGCCCGGCGATCTTTTTGCTCGCGTTAAATTCTTCGGGTCGGCACCCGATTTCCAATGACATCATCCGTAAACGATGATTTTCACATTTCTATTAATACGGGGCTTTTATTAGCGACTTTAGGGCCATTAAAATTTGTTTAGATATACAAGCTACGGACATTTCATGCCAACCAGTTGAAATATTTAAATAAAATGCTAGCCTGACATTTGAGGCATTTGAAACGATTATTAAGTCTTATTTATTAAGGGATTATTGATCCTGGGTTAATTTTAATTTATTGGCCTTTCAATATGCCAACTATGTCCCTAGTAATACAATCTAACGTGGCCTAGAGTTTTCAAGAGTTTGAAGTTAAAAGTATCCGATGAACTCAACGTCTCGTTGAATGACGTTCCGACATTCATAATAATCCCCCATCAAAGTACGTATTTGTACTCGAGCAATTGTTTAAAAAATTGCCTGTTCACGAGAACAATTGTCTTCGAGTGTATATTCGTAATACGGCGGGATGTAATTACCGTGAAGCTAATCGTTGACAATCGTTGACAATCGTTGACATTGTCTTTTGACAACAACAAAACAGTTAATTTAAATGTACCATTAATTTGTTGTAATGTAGCATAGCACCGCAAGACCGATATACCTTTTTTTTAATAACATTTAAACTATTACATCAAAATTGAAAATGATTGAATAATATATTTTTCAAAGACATATTTTAATTACAACGCTGTATCTCTCCAATATAGATATGTACCAATTTATTTCATCAGATAAGGCAATCAGATACTTTCGAATTAAATACAGCCATCAGTCAATATCTGATATTACAAATTCTTTATTACCAATACTTCTTATGAGATTGCGCAAAGGTAAAGAACACGTGAAGTCGCACGAGCACTTCATTAACTCTTAAATATAACACGATTGTTTATTATGCCGTATGTCTACGAATATTAAATCATTATTCTTCAATGCATTATCAAATATCTGAAGAGAAAACAATAGCATTGACAATGATAGAAGATTAAATATTGATTAAATAGACGGGAAGCAACGTTTCATTAATTGTAGTCATTTGATGAAATATATATGATTACTTTTTATAAATCAATTAACTATTTTTGTTAGTAATAATATACTTCACTAGCCGACGGTCACGAGCTAGAATAATTTACTTCAAGAAAATTAATTATTTTGTATCTGATAATATAATCGGTTATCAACATCATATTTACTTTTTATTTTTCTAAGTCAAACGAAAATAAGTGGATAAAAATTTCTGCGATTATTTTAGATTTTTAATTTTTCGATATAGACATTATGTTTCTAAGTAAACTTAATTTATACGTGTTTGAGCAACATAATTCGTATATAATTTTGAAAAATGATCCATACGTTTTAGTTTAAATCACAAAAGGAATGAGAGATACTTATTAAATAAATATTTTACAAAATTTTAAGCGACTTAAACGTTCAACGAACAATTTCACATGCTTATTAACATAATAATCATTAAATATTTTCTAATCATTATTTAGATGAGAGAAACGCACGTTAGTTGAATGTAAAAATTTTGCTTGTATGAATTTTAAATACATCCGCGATATTATTAAAAATAATTTACGATTTCGAATATTCAATGAAAAATGTATTTATTAAGATGTGTTTAGTTAAAATGTTTCTTTATGAATCTCATGAACTTTATAATAATTCTAACGTCATAATAATTATAAGATTGTAAATGCAATTTATTAGTGGAATTACTTTTTTTCTAAATTTGTTTATAATAAATATTTTACATAATAAAAAGAAAATTAATTGATATATGGAATAAATTGAATTAAATTTAACGATAATATAACGATAATGAAATAATATTATAGCATATAGTTATTTTATGATTTACATTTGAAATAAGAATCTGATTTTGTTAAGGAAAAGTACTGCAATGTTTACAAGAAAAAAAATTAATTAACTTTTCCATTTTATTGCTTTTGACATTATATATCATCTAAATTAATTTAATTTTTCATAACACAAGTTACTAAAAGTGTTAAATTCTTAAACAAATAATGGTGCCATCGCTAGACAATATTTTTCATCTTAGAAATCATAATTTTGCAAGATATGCTTAAAATTTAGTTGATTACTTATTGCTTTGACGAGAAGTCTTTCTTTTTTCTTTTTTTTTTTTTTAAGCAAATTATTTAGCAAAGTCACAAGACAAACGAAATCGGATTTATCAAATAAATGAGAGAAATAGTGTTACCATTAAAAATAATATTATCATTTATAGTAATAATGAATTATCAGTTATGAAAAAATATCGGATAACACAAAGCATTGATATCGATAATGAATGATAAAGCTGAAAGTGAATATCTATAATGGTCATCGATAAGTGCCAATTATGACGATTTAACATCAATTTATGTACAAACGGTTAAGACCGAAATTCTTTTTTAAATTGAAAATTGTTCAAAAGTAAGTAACTAAATTATGAAGAAAGGGACGAAATTTCTTCGTTAAAATCCTTGCTATTCGAATTTTCGGTCTGAACTTAGCTAATAAAGCGCGCGCGCGAGAGAGAGAGAGAGAGACAGAGAGAGAGAGAGACAGAGAGAGACAGAGAGAGACAGAGAGAGAGGGGGGGGGGGGAATTAAAGAAAAAGTCGACCTCGCTGTCTTACAAAGTAAGTAACGAAGAAAAGTTTTAATTTGGACGAATGGGGGAAGTGAGCTGCAACCGTATGTTGGAAATAATAATTAAAACTTGACTGGACTTTGAGCCATTATCCGAAACTTATTTTCACCCACCCGAACCATCGACCCAACAATACAATGCAAACGTGTTTATTACATTTTAATCTTCGCCGGGGCTCTTACAAACTTTCTATTCAAATCGTCGGGCTTCAGCTTTTATTATTATTACTATTATTATTATTATTATCATCATCATCATCATAGTTATTATTGTTGTTGTTGTTGTTGTTGTTGTTGTTGTTGTTATTATTATTATTATTATTATTATTATTATTATTGTTATTGTTATTGTTTATTTATTATTTTTTACTTTTTAATTAAAGAGCTTCCTTATCCATTGAATTTCAATGCAGCGCCATTCGTAGCGCTTAAGACGTGAATAATAGTTAAATTAGCGGGAGCCGATTATTTTCCCGAGAGCCCTTTTCATCGGCCAGACACTTCTCGAGTCGATGAGCTAACAACGCGCAATGACGAACGCGAGCGAGGGGATTTAAAGGAGCGACCTTGATCCCGATACAGGACGTAGGTGAGAGGTCCCGCGGCGCGGGTCTGTTCGCTCGAAGGTTCGTCGTCGTTTTCCGAGCCCGTCACTCCATGGGATTCATGCCGCGGGGCATTACAGTTGCGTGCGTGCGTGTGCGTGTGTGTGTAATGGGGGGGGGGGGGGGTTGAGGGGTGGTGGGAGGGGGATAGGGGTGGGGCTGACAGAGGAGGAGGATCAAAAGTTGGCGGAGAGAGCTTAATCGACGACGCCACCACACCTGGCACACTTGGAAGGCCTTGCGAGAGGAGCCACTCTTTTAAAAACGCGGCGAAACGTGATCTCGTTGTTTGCTGTGCGCAAGCGCGCCTCGTTACGCCAATTGTCCGACATGTGTATGTATGGGAGCGCAAACGTGCGATAAACGAAGCGAAAAGTGCTGCTTTATTTTCTAACGAGCCTTTCACGGCCCGATCGAGCCAATGGTCGCGCCGAAGACACATTTTAACGCGAGTTCTCTCGCCTCGGGTAGGGGCGGGACGGGGGGAGGGAATGAGATCGGGAACTGGGCGGAGAGGACAATTTTTATATGGGGGCAGGCTTGAGATTGCCGTTTAAAGGCTCATTAAAGCTGGCAAGACGCTCGATATTAATGTTCTTTGTAAAATTAATGGCAATTTAGCTTTTGATTGCCATTTACATAAACAATCTCGATTCTTAATAAATACTACCCCGTCTATTTATAAGGAAACAAACGTCAAAGCGAACAGGATGCGGTGTATATTATCATAATATGTAAATTAGCTTAAACTGTGTAATTTTGGTGAAAACGACATTATAACGAGGTTATACTTGTCGCACACTCGATATTTTATCGAGAATATGCAATTAAACTTATATAATACAAAAAAAATCTAGTAGGCTTATTGAAAAACAAAAAAAAAACGAAAAAATGTACGATATATAGGCCAATTTGGATAATTAATTGAAATAACGATATAATACTTGCGTTTCGTTTATTTCAATCTATACACTGGTTGTGATTCAACTTCGTTACAAACGAAATTTCATTACATAATATTAATCACTTCACAAGGGAAAGTGCTTCAAGCGTGATAAAAAAATTATCCTGCAATTATAATTCAACTCGTTTAAATTTCTTCTGCGCGCCCATAATGGCAAAATGACTCGGCAAAATAAGAATAAAAGGAGAAAAAGAGATGAGAAAGACACCCTATGCGAAAATAAAGCAAATCGAAGTGGAATAAAAAATAATTTATACTCCGCAACGAATCGTCGCGTATCTCGTCGAACCTTTACAACAATTCACGCTTTCAAGCGTTTCGCTTTGTTATTATCCCCGGCTTAGATAGCCGTGCGCCAGAAAAAGAAATCGACGACGACGAAGACGACGACGACGAAGACGACGACGACGAAGACGACGACGACAACGACAACGACAACGACGACAACGACAACGACGACAACGACAACGACGACAACGACAACGACGACAACGACAACGACGACAACGACAACGACGACAACGACAACGACGACAACGACAACGACGACAACGACAACGACGACAACAACAACAACAACAACAACAACAGCAACAGCAACAGCAACGCAAGAAGAAGAAGAAGCAGAAGAAGAAGAAGAAGAAGAAGAAGAAGATGAAGAAAACCAGAAACACCGTCTAATTTCCGTAAAATACGTCTAAAGTCGCCTAATCGCGATGGAAAAAAACTCGCAGACAAACTTCGCGGACAGCCGATTCGCTGCTCGATCGACGTTACGGCGTCACAGTCATCGCCGTTTTCCCCACGGCCTTTATCCGCGATTTCCAAGATATTTTATACTCATTTCGCGGCTGGGCGCGACAACTGGCGCATAACGGAAATATGTGAGCGACGCCGTGCGTGTATTGAGGTCGCGGACATCGTGACGCTCCTGCTCCCCGCACATCCGATTGTCTATTATTCCATTGAAGAGGTTGAGCCTCGGGGCGATCGAGCGGTGCATTCGATTTTCAAGATTTCTAGAGCCGCTGAATATTCCTGGCTTTGACCGAAAAGCTCGATTCTTGTAATAACGATATTGCTTACCGTCGATGCTGCGTGAATGCCAGCTACGACAATTACGACGACAAAGACGACACGAGCGAGCCGTTGGATTTTATTCGATTTCGAGGACTTTTCACTTTCTAATTCAGAAATTTATGAGGACGACGCTGTGCCACTCAAATGGGCACGTCTTCGCCATTACATTCACGCGAAACTTTATTATATTCCTCTCCGTATCAATACTTATTCTCCGACTCTTTTCACCTACAATTGTTAAACATACATAATCGTTTTTTTTCCTTTACTTTTTTCTTTTTTACAATTATCGCTCGGTATTTTATTTATTTATTTATTCCTTTTGTTCTTTATACTGTTTAATGACAACTACACACGTACACGTACAAATTACAGCTTTGACCTACTGCTTCTGTTTAAATGTCGAATGTTATTTAATATTTTACTTACACCTATCGCGAACTATTTTTATGATAATACATAGGCATTATTAAACGTGCTCGTCTATAAATTTACAATTATTAAATCATTAATGCTCGCAACAATTATTATAATTGATCGTAAACAATTTGATTCTAATATTAAAATTGACGAATGCCTTTTTGTGGAAAGAATGCGTTGATACGAAGAAATAATTACGTTTCGTTATATTACTTACAACTTGGTAATTAGACTCTTCAAGCTAACCTAATAGTCGTAAAATTAACTGAAACTTGCTGCTTTAAAAAATGCCAAAATCATATAAGCATTTTGTTGTATTAAAAATATGTAATTATGAACTTACGAAGTTGCGTGCTTCTTGTCTCTGTGATCAAAAGGATCGTACAATTCATCTTTTTCATGGTAGTGACCAATAGCAGGTGCGATTTTTGTTCTGAAAAGGAAAATAACTTTTTATAATTTGCATTCTATTTTCATCTAATTTATTTGCAAATATTTTTGACAGATAATGACATCAGCTTGTCTGTTCCATAAAAACCAAAAAAAAAACAAAAAAAAAAAACAAAAAAAAAAAAAAAAAAAAAAAAAAAAAAAAAAAAAAAGAAATAAGAAAAAAGTAGAAATAAAACGCGACTACAGTCGGTTAACAATATGTAGTTGACAATTCACCGCAAAACTGTTAAAATTATTATGCAATAAACGTATGGGATATAATATTATTCATCAACGATCAAATTACAAACAACTCAGTAAGTAATTGCTTACATTATAATATTTTATCCTTTATGAATTGTACTGAGTTTTATATAAAATGTTAACATTCGATCATAATTATTTATTACGAATACGCTACATATAAATTTTCGCGTATTATTATGTTTAATGTCGCATAATTGTTAAATTTTTCACCATTTAATGGAAATAGCCATTTATAATATAAAAGTAATCAAGACACTTTGAATGACATTACAAAATATTATTACTTTAATAAAAGAATTTTTCATCAATTCTCGATAATACGTCATAATTATTATTAACTTATAATAACTATTTGTCCTATATATAACAAAACACATTTATAAAGCCTTCAAAATATATTACTATTCATTGTGAAAACAACAACGATGTAAATAATTATTTTATTATATTATATTATTAAGAAAAGGTTGGACGAATTAAGTGTTACACAAAGAAGTTCTTATTTATTATTGCATTTTATATTATTTACAAAATATAAAAATATACCAAGATGAAATTATTCCGAATTATTGTATTTTTTTCCCTTTCTTTTTGTTTTTAATTTGATAGGATTTTTAAAATAATTAGAATCATTATTTCTTTAATAAAATATTAAACGCAGTTTTCGGTAAAATCATGAAGTTTGTTATTGTCGTTAAAATTTCTAAAATTTGAAAATAATAATTTTAAATTGTCTATTAAGATAAGCACTTCATCTAGATTAAAATAAAGGAAGAAAAAAAAAACAAAAAAAACACATACAAAAGCCAGTTAAACTAACGTATAAAAAAAGGAAAAAATTTGCTCAAAATATTTCAACGAATGAATTTATCCTATAATTTTGTTCATTTAAATTCGTTAATTATGTAATTAGTTTTGATTTTATGTTTCCATTAGCTCTTATGTTGTATCGTTATGTTGGTGAAGGATGTTGATTTAGATAATAAACAATCGCAGCATTGACAAGATAATAAAATAAAGTGAACTATTAAAAAGATGATTTAATCTATCTTCGTTTACGATAATGTACTTTGATTATTACTTACTTAAATAACTTTTCATTATATTGTTTATACGTTATAATTAATCGCGCTTTTAATAATCATTATGCGTTACAATACGAATATTATAATTAAACAAAATATTACCCTTTGTCTGTAAATATAAATAGTTACTACCATGAATGAGATGTAAATAATATTTATATATATTTATGAGAAAAAAAAATTTTTTTGTTTCAATTTCGAAATAGATCGCTAATAATTGAATAATTTAAATAGAACTGTTAAGCAAGTTTTGTTAAAATTTTTTGACAATTAACTCAAACGTAATCTAATTACATAAAAGAAAAATGAACAAATGACATATTGAAAATCAAAATCTCATAAGAATTTAAAATTTAAACAGCGATGCAAAGGCTATATTATATTTACAAAAGATAAAAGAATTTTATATAGAAATACTTGGATCCATAAAGGTTGTTTCTTTATTATCATAATCATGCAAAATCTGCTATGATCTCATTAATTATAGACATGAATTTCTGTGACGTTCGAGTATTCTTCAGTTCTTCAATTCTTCAATTCTTCAGTATGCAATGCACATTCCTTTAAATTTTTTTTATCATATATTTGCCTTTTCTTATCAACACGTCATACAAAAATAGCATGCATTACTTTAAAAACGAGGTCTTTACTCTCACCTACTCCTTTTCTTATTTACCTGCTTATTATTCGAGTCATTGCCACTTATGTTTGTTATAATCAATCATTTATCAAGTTTCGTGTTTGAAATATGGTTAATATAAAAGACGTTTACATGCACAAACCATTCCTTTTACCCTTCCTTAAACACTTATTTTATTTATTATTAAGATTGATGAATTTTACCTCTACGACGAAATAATTAAATTATATATATATATATATATATATATATATATATACACATATATGATGATAATGATGAATCAATAAAAAAATATTGCCTTATTACGTTGTATGCTTATAAATGTAATCCGTATAATTTGTATTTGTTAACATAATTTAAACTACTTCCACATCTTATCGCGATTGTACAAAATCAATAAAAGTCATCTCAATTTGAATTATACTAATGAAAAGATAAATTATTACAAGCCATTCGTAAGGTTCTTTTCTTAAATAAATTTGTAGTTTTTATAGATGTAATTAAAGCACTACTTTTTATAAGTATACGAACCACAATTTCAATAGAGAACAATTGGCTCGTCGAATTATCGATCTGGTTTATCTTATTTCCGGTAATATATTAGACATTGAATAGTTTACGATTACCGCCACTTTAATACAAGGATACTTACGTGCTACTAAAGTCCTTCATTTGCTCTCCTGGTACTTCGTTTACTTCCTCCTTCTTACCCATTTTGGTAATCTAGAATAAGAAATGTTTTTTCCTTGATAAGTTTTAAAAATACGTTTCTCAACAAAAAAATAAGTTAATGGAATTAATTTTGCTACTCGAGGTGGTAAATTAAATTTACATTTACAAAAGTAAATGTGTAATTACCTAAATTGTTTATCACTAAGTCAATTCTAAATTATATTTATAATCGTGGTAAAAGTGTAGGTCAATGGACAAAGGTGGCATGCAGAATTTCATATATTAAGATTATTTTCATTTAATATTGACTAATAGGTTTGTCATGATTACTAATAAGAAAACATTAACGAGTGCTTACATAATTTTCATTATTAGTAACGCGTTACGCAAACGTAAAGAGTAAACTATTGCTTCTTTTTTTTTTTTTTTTTTTTTTTTTTTTTTTTTTTTTTTTTTTTTTATCTATATTTATCTTACCCAACTTGTGTACAATGTATACCTATAGCCGGAGAATTTTTAATACAAACAATGTGAGATTGAATGTTTAAAAAACTCGATGTTTCGGGTTGAAAAGTTTCACGAGCCCAAGAACAAGGTAATAAAATTGGAAAAATCTATCGTGTGATGTTAGTGTTAATGTAAATTAAAAATTCGCTGGCATAAGTCATGTTTGGTCTGTATTTGTGAGATAAGCGTTTGAAAGGATTTATGAAACTTAAAAGCATACATTAAGAAGAAAAAAAAGAATAACGTGCACCGACTCATTATAGCTATGCATTAAAGTAAGATTGATTAGCTATAAATAAATAAACAAAAATGACTGCTTTAATGTTTATTTTTACTTTTAATTAATCATGAAAAGCGACATTCGCTAGAGTTGTGCGTATTTTCGTATTCTATTTCTATTTCCTTCCTATTCCAATTATTTAAGGTTACTCGCAATATCCATTTAACAATTAACATACATCCTTAAGCGTTAATACATAACTAATTCCGTATTTTTAATCTGGGAAAAGAATTTCGCATTTTTGGATAATATACTTGGTAATGATAACACACAGTGAATAAGCTTTAATGAGAAACGATTCAATTTAAAATTTTAGCTAATATGGAATTATACGCGCAAGTACATGAATTTTACAATTTAAACGAAATGTAAGAATTTGTAGCTGCGACGCGCTACATGATTATGACAACAACAATGCGATTGAAGTAATTATCTGTCGAGTATATTCATTCCCTCGAATCTTCTATATTGACAAATGAAAATATATAATTGATAAATAAAGAAAGAAATAAACGAATAAAAAGAAAAAGGAGTGTTTCAACATCTTATGAACAGGAGTTGATGCCGTATTTATAAATTTTAATCTTAAATTTGAAACATTCTACGTTGCAACAAATATAACACTTTTTCATCCAGATAAAATACAAATGGAATAAGTGATAATTTGATATTTTATTTAATAAAGAATGATCGATTACGGAATTTAACGAAACAGATAATAAACACGAGGTTACACAACGATTAACAAGCGTCGATACTCGGCATCTGTCCGTATCTCGGCACTTATCCGATACTTTCATTGTCGCTTTATTCGATTAATTTATTGCCGATTACATAATAGGGATAATTGTTTCAAAAATTCGCTCTCCAAGCGCGCTCTTAACAAAGTCGATTTGGCAATTAATTAGCGAGGTAAGAGAGTGATACGATTAAGGAAAAAATATTCGTCGGGCCGAAATTGATTTTGCGAAAATCATGGTATGTCGACACTAGTACTACTACTACTACTACTACTACTACTACTACTACTACTACTACTACTACTTCGCTATTATTATATGGCAATGAGAATGAAATTTTTCTTCTTTCATTCTTTGCTTAATTAGTAAAACATATTAACTACTCTTTAGCATATTATCTCACTAATTCCCTATCAACGTAACGTGCATTAATAATACGCAGAATTAAATAAACGAATAAACGAGCATTTCTAATGCTTATGAATGAATTGCTCTCTTTGCCTACGTAATCATCAAAGATAAGGATATCCCCGCGTATCTTAAAATCCCAGCTGTTAACCAATCAATCGCTCTTTTTTTCCAATCACGAAACCCTTTGAAGAACTCGACAGAGAGAACGAGAGAGAGAGAGAGAGAGAGAGAGAGAGAGAGAGAGAGAAAGAGAGAAAGAGAGGCATCGTTGGCGTGCGACTTAATGCCGTTTGATGGGCACGATAATTTATGAACGCACCCATCGCTCAATGGCGCCTCTATTTGAGAGATTCGCCGCTCTCGTTACTTTACGTTCCACAGGGATTGCATAAGTTTGCCCAGAGTCGAAGCGAGTCGAGTATCTTGCCCGCCCATGGGCCACAACACATAACTCCGAAAAGAAGCGAACCGCTGGATAATCGCCCCTCCTCGTTTCCATTGATTTAGCATGAGAATGGATGGGAGCTCGAGGCGTGGAAGCCTTTTTTGCGCAGATGTTCCATTTTTTTGTCCGTTGGCGCACGCGACGGAGGAGAAATAATTCGAGCTCGTGGATGAGTGCGCAGCGATCACGCGCGCGCGAGCTCTCAAACGACAAGTAAAATTTTGTTATTCCGATAAGCCGAAGGTCCCCTCGCTCGCACGCCCATTTACGTAATCGTAAGCGGCAGCTTTTCGCGAGAGGATACACGCGAGAAGCAACCTAGCGGTTACAAAAATCGCATATCCGCCACAGCTTGGAGCGGCTCATCTTTACGAGCTTATCCACTGACGTAACGCGATTGCTTTCCATCTCCACTCGAGCGAATGCCCGCGGGCGAGACGTCGTTGGCTAATTCGTCAATGGTATTCGTCAATGGCAGCCGCGCGGAATTAGCATTCCATCGAAAGTATAACGCGTGCCATTAGCGCGACGGCGTTGAAATGTTGCGTGCGTGCGCGCCGCGCCACGTGCCCGAGCCGTTTGATTGTTTTAGCAAGTGGGGGGGGGGGGGGGGGGGGGGGGGGGGGGGGGGGGGGGGGGGGGGGGGGGGGGATCTGGAGAGGCAGCAGCTTTCTCTCGTTGTCGAGTCTCTCAAGACCGAGACGACTGCGCCATAAGACTGCGATAGAAGGCACGCGGGAATGGCGAAGGATAATGGAGGAGAGGGACTGTGCCACCCTTAGCGTCTGTTTGGCGATTTTTCAGCCTCTTTGGCTTCGCGGATGCGCGATGAAAGTGAATTGCGTTCGCGCAATCGCTGCCGTTCCAAAGCCGAGTTCCAATATCGCGTGCTCATTCTACAACAGCGAAATTCCAACGCTATGCAAATAATTAAATTGTCTTTTAATGAACAACGACGTTCATGGCAAAAAATTGCTGCTTTACAAACTATATACTATTATACAAGAAAGAAAGAAAAAAGAAAGAAAAAAAAAAAAGAAAAAAAAGGACCTATAATGGCGAGTGTAAGCATATCGGAATAGTAACACCGTCTGTAAATTCAAGTGATATTCGCTTGAAAAAACAGCGTAACTTTCTACGAGTGTTTTCTTCGAAAGTGCCATTTAAATATCGGGAGATAATAGAAATGCTTGGCCAGTCATTGCTATTTACTGAAACAAGAAAAAGCCTCCAAAAAAACAAAAACAAAAAACAAAAAAACAAAAAAAAAACAAAAAAACAAAAAAAAAAAACAAAAAAACAAAAAATAATAAGGAAAGATAAAGTGAAAAGAACGAGCGAGAGAGAGAAATATGTAAACGCTTGATAATCGAAAGTTTTATGGGCACTTGCCTTGGTTTTTTATTGTTTTTTGTTTTTTGTTTTTTGTTTTTTGTTTTACACGAGAAGACGTCATTATTATTAATTAATTTGACATTTAAAGAATAAAATACTATTGCACATAATACATGTTACGCAACAAATGTAATTGCATATTAAGTTTGTACACAGAGCGCGTAATTTAGAATCAGATCGTACCTTTCATTTTATGAGAATTACTCGTTACGATACTAGACTGATATCAACATTAAAATGTATATAAATGACGCGTTAGAGGAATTTAAATTGCTCGCGTGGAATTAGCGTATCACGCGAGGAGAATAAAATTATGATTTATTTTTTAAACGTCGAGCTAGTATGCGGTACGTGATAAGTTTGGATTGTCGAGGATTTTAAGAATTTCGCTGTCTCCTTTCATTCTTCGGCGATTACATTTCTCAATGCAAAAATGCAAATTTAACCTGTTTGAGCGCAAATTACGCGCTTAGATCTATGAGGCGGCGGCGGCAGCGGAGGCAGCGGCGACGACGACGAAGACGACGACGACGAAGACGACGACGACGACGTTTCATCGTCGATAATACACCGAATGGTAGCGGTAGCCTTGAAGTACCGAAACGTAACGGCTAAAGCCTTATTTCCCATGAATTTTCGTTAAAATTATCGACTGCTATACGCACGCTATACGTCGTCATCTTGCAATGCAATTAAAATTCATCGCCCATAGCCTATTGCCAAAGTCGGGTAGTCGCCCAGTTGTGACGCATACCAATGGATCGAAAGCATTTATCAGCACCGGTGCCGTTTCAATTTTTCAACCGACCTGCGTCCTCGCTCGTTCATGTCAGAACCCGATGAATTTCCTCTTCCCATCCGGTATAGACCCTCGATAACGTAGGCGGCTTACGTCAGGACGCGCTGAACGGAGGGGAAAAAGCGCGACCCGATGTATCACCTCCGTAGCCCGCGACTCGGATTTCGCAATCCGAGGAATAGTTCGGTTAGCCGAGGATGGCTCAGTGAACGGCTCAGTCAAGAGACGAATTGTGGTAGGAGATGGATAAGTCCGGGGGATCCGGCGCGAGGCTTCCCGGAGCGCAACCCAGATCGCGCGTGTTTCACCGCCTTAAAGCGATTGATATCGAGCGTTTTTGCACGCACGGCCCCGACCAAACATGGCGCACTCGGAGGTGAAAATTCTCCGATGTCGCGATTCGTTACTCTGATTTTTCCAGATCGCGCTGATCGGCTGCGAGAATATCAATAGAGAGACCGATAGATAGATATAGAGACATAGAGAGATAGGCACGGCCCCGACCAAACATGGCGCACTCGGAGGTGAAAATTCTCCGATGTCGCGATTCGTTACTCTGATTTTTCCAGATCGCGCTGATCGGCTGCGAGAATATCAATAGAGAGACCGATAGATAGATATAGAGACATAGAGAGATAGATAGAGATAGAGATAGAGAGATAGAGAGATAGAGAGAGAGAGATGAGAGAGAGAGGTAAGCAGGCGCGCACTTTCGTTGGCACGGGCGAGATAATGAGATGTCGCGAGCCGGCCGATGCGGTAACTTTTCGCGGATGCGGCGCGCCTTTCTTTCTCGCAGCCTTGCACCGAGAAACTTTCAATGGGAAATGGCGTTGGTTGGTTGGTCGGGCGAGGGGCGGTTGTGGGGGCAGGAGGGCAGTGGTAGTGGCGATGGTAGCGGCGGTGGTAGCGGCGGTCCGTAGCGGCGGTGGTAGCGGCAGCGACCCGTAACGTCGCGCGTTGCCGTGGAAATGCCGTGGCGGGCAATTGTTTGAAAATGCCGTGGCATTAATCACGAGAAAGCGAGCGGAGGAGAGTTTAAGGTTGTTGATGGCTCGCGAGTCCGCCGTTTGATAAATCGTCTTTGGCCGTTTTAGATGGCCCGAGGCGAAATTGACAATGACAATGAGGTGATGACGGAGACGAGGTCGGTCGGTAAGCCCACCAAATGTACCCTTTCGAATTCATATAAATATCTCGCGGTTACGACGATTGGGCAAGTTGGTGGTTCAACCATGCTTGGCAATTCGAACAAAAGTAACAAAACATAATGAATATATACGTACGGAGCTGGGGACATTCGGTTATCCGCAGCACGTATCGCGTGCACGTAAATCTTTCGAAATAATTCAGCAGTGCGAATGTTTATCGACGATCTTACGTGTTCGGGATGATTGGAAAAACAATAAACAACATCGGCTATGAACACATGCATTTAGAAATAGATCGAGTGTCGTATCGGAGCCGTTTATTGATCGTTGGTGTTCGAGTTCGTGAATTTAGGGGCGAGCAGACACCCGTCCAAGACTCGTAGTCTTTGAATTTCACGCTTCTTTGTCGCAACGAGCGACGACAACGAAGACACGATAATGATTCGAAAGTGATTCAGCGGAGGTTGATATGGATGGTGTCGATAGTTATGTTTATGAAACAATCTAGCGCATTCGTACACACACGTGAAAGAGAGAGAGAGAGAGAGAGAGAGAGAGAGAGGAAAATAAAGGTTACGAGTGTGTTACACTTTACTACCTATTTCTATGTCGTAGCTTTGAATAATATACTCGCGTCTCTCTCTCTCTCTCTCTCTCTCTCTCTCTCTCTTACTTTATTTCCTATCCAATCGTCCGATTAGCCAAAGTCCTTAGAAAACAATTTAAGACGTATTAAGCGCGACACATTTATTTGTCGCACTCGCGCAAAAAGTACCAGTGCAAAACAATCGTAGTCGCTCGTCGCGCACCATAATCGTAAAACTTACGAGGCAGAGCAGCACATCGTCGGGAAAGCTGTACTGCAGTAGCAAATAACCGAGCGATAAATTTGCGCGCGCGAGAGCCTCGCGAAATCAAATAAACAATGACAATTATCGGAGATCCCGATTCTGCGGTTCGTTGATTGGGCAACGAGCGGGGCCGAAGGGCCGAGGCAAAGGCTAAGAAGGGCAGGAATCGGAGAAGAGCGAGTTCAACTTACCGGGGGCCGTTCTTCTCGATGATTGCACTCGACTGCGGACGATCCTCAATGGGGCTCCACCACTGGCATATCCTCGACAACTCCGGATCGCACTCGCGCGGTTTCGTCCACCCGTCGGCGAAGTAAGACACTCGCGCGTTGAAGATCGATTTGAAGGAGAGGGGGTGGGAACCGCGATCGAGCGGCTGGGGAGGAGAGTATGGGACGAGGACGAGTTCGACGTAGACGACGTAGACGACGAGGAAAGGATCACGCGAACCACGTACCGTCTTCGCGCTTAGCGTCCGTTTACTTGGAAGGCACGGAGGTGACTTCGCGTCGCTGGGGCCCGGCTCGCTGAACACTAGGCAGGCCCCGCTTGGTGGTGGCAGGAATATATACCACCATTGGAGTGGCGGCGGCGGCAGCGGCGGCGGCAGCGGCGACGGCGGCAGCGACAGCGGCGGTGGCCGCGGTGGCGGCGCTACCGGTGGCTAAAATCCACGTGCCTTCTCCGCCACCACCGCCACCGCCCGCCGTTGCCACCGCAGTCGCCGTCGCCGTAGCCGTCGTTGTAACGAGAGCGGGAGGGGATCCGACTTCGGACACCTGCACGATATTCCTCGCGGCTGATAAATCACTCGCCCTGACTACGTTACGATGGCATCGCCCTGGCCGATTGATAGCCGTTCAACGATCCGTGATCCCGATTACCCTCGGTTGTCGAGCCTTTGCCTTTGCCTCTGCGACGCCGTTACGATGCCGTGGCACTTCCCGGGGCTCCGCTAATCTTATCGAATAGCCGAGGGAATCCTTACCGCGAGAAGCTTGGATTGCCGAGAAGGGAAAACACGTCGTTGCGCGGTATTTATTCGCATTGCCGATTATATAGCGCAGTTATAGCGTATATTCGCATGACGTAATACTCTAAATAAATTGATAAATTTTCTTAAAGAGTGTGCAAACAAGAAGAAATCTCCTGCTTACACAAACCTATTATCAATGTCTATAATTACTATTCGACATAATAATACGTCGGTTTAGAGCTGCCTAACTCAAGTGCCGCGTCAAACTTAACAAACTCGGTAAATAAAGGCTTTTTTCTTTCTTTCTCACCGATCAAAATATTTGCAATACTTCAATAAGCGCACGCAATTCAATTTTCTTGCCATTACAAAAAAAAAAAAATATCCACGTACTTTAATGGTTTAAAATGTAGAGGTGCGCGCGTTACCGTTGTGATCTTACTTTTTATTCGAAATTTCCTTGCCTTTCGAAAAATTCAATTGTAAAGAAATTGGACAGCAATTTAAAATTGGCAATAGATATACTTTCGATTGATAATTTCTAAAGAAGGAATTAAAACTTTCCAAGCGACCAAGGCCTTCTCCACAAATAATTTAATGAGAAAAAGTCTAACGCAACTTGAGACATTCGTACATTGATATTGACAGATGTGAATCATAGTAATTGGTAAAAAAGAAGAAGAAAAAATTCAAAACGAATCATAATATAGACAAATCATTTTAAAATTATTCATCTACGTAACGTACAATTAAAATTCCTATAAAACTATAAGAGAACGCGTTAAACTTTATTTATTACATAAAGTCGTTTCCACTTTGTTTCGTTTAATCCCTCGCTTGCTGAACTCGAATATTTTCATATTTAATAATTGAGGGTAAAAGCCGTTTTCTTGAAGAAAAAAAAAAAAAAAAAAAAAAAAAAAAAAAAAAAAAAAAAAAAAAAAAAAATAGAGAGACAGAGAGAGAACACTTCTGTTGTAACGACATGACAAATTGTCATGTCTTTAATATTTTCAAAATAAAACAAATTTAATCGTATTTGTCAATCTAATCGTATTTGCTTTATTACGATCAAATTTCGGAATTATATAGTGATAGAATTTTCATTGAACCGTGATTTTAAAGACAATAATAAATGCACAACAGGATGTACCGTTGTGTTTTATTTGTATATAATGGAGTTCTATCGGACGATTATACAATTAAAATTTAACTGGTTAAAATTATTTAAATAATATAATACAACCGATAAGAACGAAAAAGCAATTAACACATTACAAAATTAAAGCACTCGTTTGTTACGTTTAATTAAACAATTATAGTTTTTCTCTAAAATGAACGCTGTAAAAACAAATCGTAATGTAATTTTTTAAATCTACCTTTCTTTTCCTTTTCCTTTTCCTTCTCAATTCGCGTACTTACAATTTCATACGTAGAATTTAATATTAATTACTTCATTACACCAATTGCATTATTTACTACACACTCTAATATATTATTCACCTTTTTTTTTATATTAATATTATTATGTGATAATATCATAATCTAATATTTATTGCAACTGTTGTTCAAGTATGGAACAATCATTACAGGCATTTAAAAACTTTACACTTTTACAATTTACGCAAATATTAATGCGAAAATCCATGCAATGATCGAACAAGTTATTAAATACAGTTTCATCCGAAATTCTTAGAAAATTCGCTGTACACGCTGTAACCGTAGCAGCTCATATTATATTAAAAATTAAAATAAATAACTTTTGTTTTATATTAATATGATACTAGGGATTGTTAATTGTAAATAAAAATCTTGATTATTAATGATTACGTAATAATACAAGAAGCATGTAGCATCCATATGCAATAATTGGAGAATAAAAGGCATTTTGTACTTTATAATTTAAAGTTCGTTTAAAAAAAAAATTATTCATAATCCTTGCGAACAACGAATTATTAAGTAAATTTACCAAAATAATTGTTGTTCATTTAAAATTACCATTGACTACGCATTTACATGCAAACCTTATCGTTAAAAAGCATATTTTACTTTGCTGAGTTTATGAATTAAGTAAACAAATCGCTTATTAATATTAGCATGTTTTGTGTGTTGTTGAAATAGTTTTCAAATTATTCTCTTGAGTTTGTTGTCAAAAATTTTCATCGATCATTTCATTTATTTCGTATAGGTAAATCTAATAAAAATAAATTCTTTAGAGTTTTCGAAAATAAGCGTTATTTTCAAAAACATAATACAAGTGTTCCTCAGTGTCAATTTTTTCTTACACAAGTTTTTCCTGTAACTGATTATAAATAAAGTAACCGCTTATTTAATAATATGTAATACTACTATAATTATACATTATTTTACTTGTGAACCTTGAACGAATACATTGATAACCTAATAGTTCGTAATAAAGACTTTTGCATTTATAATTTGGTATTTCGAAAATTTAGAATATTTCTTCTTATTCTTTTATGAAATGTCGTTTTATTTTAATAGGGAAAATTTGGATGATAATATATAAAAAAAATGTTATCATAAATTAAATTTATAACGTCATTTTTAAATATTTACATGGGAACAATAATTCAGCATGAAAAGTATTATTAATTAATCAATATTTTCGAATGTTTTATTTTTTCTCGATAGAAAAAGAATTAACGCGTACTAATCATAAATTGATGTAATTTAAATTGATTTAATTAATATTATTAGAGGTTAATGTTGTTTATAATTACTAGGGAATATTATTCGAGGTTTTTGGTTTAATCAAGAATGATTTCACGAATACTGAACTTAATGCCATAAATTGGAAGTAAATGTTAACTTACGGAGAGCTGAAGTCTCATGCTTTATACGAGGCAATAATACATAAATTATTACATTATTTAATTATTTATTATTTTGTATATTTATTATTTATTTACTTTTTATTTAATCAATATTACTAAACCGTGTGTGAAATTTAGAAATTCTTTCGTCCGTTTTTTAATCACTTTTTTACTTGTAAATACATATTATTGATGTTTATTAATAATATTTTTACGCCGTAATCAGTTTCGAAAGGTTTTGCTTCGATAGTTTAAGTTCAAATATAATGTTTTATAGTGAGAATTCATTATAGTGAGAAAGCCTTTCGATATAAATTCATTCGGTAAATTAGTTAATAGTTTGATACAATTGGAGATAATTGCTTCTATATAATTCGTTATACATATTATTTAAGAAATTTATTTTTATGTTCAATCAATTCTATTTAACTCTATTTAAACATCAACAATATTAATTTCTAGAATAATAAAGGCATAAAAATTTATAAGTCCATAGTTTCATGTATTATTTCGTTCTAACATTTTTTTCTTCTAATACGTATCGTGCGATAAAATTTCTTTATAAATATTATAATTATAATATTTTTACAGCATGTTTTTGTATTACCGATACACGATCGACTGTGTATTAAGATTACTATAATTGATTGTGATATTGGAAAAATATATTAATATAAGGAAAATAATTTTGGATTTTCAATCAAATTTTTTGTTCATTTCAACCATTGAGATGGATAATCCTTTAAATATTAATAAATCACTGTTTGATAATAATCGTTAGATTTCACTAAACAAAATATGATGATTAACTATTAATATGATAATTAAGTGACAAAAAATGAATAAAGTATAATAATATAATAAAAAATTACATAAGAACGATACCATATAATACTTGAACTCAAAAATAAGAAAATTATTCTTGAGAATAAACCATTTACTTATTAGAAAATTTTTTTACAGTATTCCTATAAAGAAATAATATTCACAAGTAACTCAATAAGATTTTCTCAATTATTTTGAATAATTTAATCGAATGAACAAGTAAATATTATTTCAAAATGAAATACGCTAATTTAATCGTTTTAAGCGATTTCACGGAAAATTATTTTTTTTTAACTGAGAAATTTCATATTTGCTCGATTTTTCAAATACTTAAATATAAAAAATTTATGTAAAAATCTACTTAATACTATTTATTCGTCATACAAATTATTTTTAATATCGCTATTTGTTAAGATTATTAAAAAGTTTGCCATGTGATAAAAATAAAAATATAAAAATACATTCATAATTTCTCAATAATGCTTTAAATGAATTATTATATATTCTTACAATTAAGCTGAGATTTAATTATGAAAAAGTTGAAAAGCTTCAATACTTTCCGATTTAATGACTATCACAAACGCAAAATGTATGCACTAAACTTGTGTATTAATTCGAAATTTTACATTGTTAATGTGCTACGTATAAATATAAATTTCTTACATGGGCTCGTAACAATTTGAAAACTTCCAACAATATATTCGATTTTATTAGCTATTCATTATAATTATAAACCGAAGTCA